AAAAAAAAAAAAAAAACCTAAACCGTTGCTCGTGCACACGCACAACACTCGGAGGTGTTTTTGTTTCCTTCCTAATCAATGAGAGCAAATCACAACGACATCGCGGCACAGAAACACCCGCCTGCATTCCACCACCGCCGAATGCAAACCTATTCGGGACGCGCGCCTTTTATATCGCCCCTCTGCGTTCCGACCAATCAGAACTCCCAGCCGTACCCGCCGTGCTTGAATCGTGTTTCCGCCAACCCCAGCGAGCCTCCGGCGCGCGCCTCCTTGCGCGTTCCCATCCCCGACCTTCGGCCAATGAGGAAGGTTGCGAGGATAAGGTTCCAGCGCTGCCTGTTTTTAAAAGAGGCAACGATAAACCTCGTGGGTTCTTGATAGGAATTGCGGGGAAGCCGGGCTTTATCTGGACACGAGTGTTCCGAGTTTCATCCTGGTGCCAAAGACATATATATTCGTAAAGATCCCGCGGCCACCACCTAGAGTTCTTCGATTGGGATTTGATGTGTGGATCTGTTGTTTTCCTTTTCAATTAGGTTCAGACAAACTGAACACGAACCAAAGCTACAAAGCTAGCAGATACCCAATGCTGGTTATTTGTTTTTCTTGTTAGTCGAACTGTCAACGGCTTCCCTCCTCTGCCTCTCCAAGGTTTAGCGTTAAAGTGCCTGCTGAATATGGAAGTGACAAGTTAACCCCTTACTTTCACTGTAATAGAAGAACAAAATAAGTTCACAGGAATTATTCAGAGAAATAATACTGATTTTGCATCATTCTAGGAAGTGCTTATTCAAAAAGCTTTGAACACATTATGTAATAATTGCACAGTCAAAATATGAATAACATGGTTGTATTCTAACAATAAATTCTCAGTATATCTACTAAGGTCAGGAATATATGGATGCCAATAGATTCCTGATTGCTTCAGTTATTCTTGCTTGATCTCTTTGGATTGTCTCATTAAACGGGGGGCGGGGGAGGTCTACAACAGTTCTGTTCCACCCACTGGAAGCTAAGTAGCAGACAGCACTGGATGACCATCTTCTCCCCTGTGCAATTCCATATTTCTACCGAGCCTCCAAAGCAGATTTGGACCACTTCTTGCTGATAAAACCCAACCTTTTCCCTGTTACATTTGAATTGGGAGAGGCTGTGCAGCTCCTAGACGAGTTTCTGAATGCAGCATAGGCTGGGTAGGGAGGGCCAGTAATAAATTAAGAACTAGTGATATAGTAGTCCTGTAGGTTGTTAGCTCCAAGGACCAAGAAATCAGTGTTTTACTTGTCCTTGACTGCAGTCCTCTTTATAGGAGTGGAAATGGAGTTTGGGGATTCACACAGAACCATCACTGTCACTAGAGAGCCAAGTGGCCGCAGTGATAAAGAACGCATTTTACTACGTTCAGCTGAAACACCAGGACAGGAATAGCTTCGCTTCAGGACCATAGGCAGTGATAACATCATGCCTCTATTATTGTCATGTATGCTATATGATACTATCCTTACATTTGGTCTGGAAGGCAGAGTTAGTGCAAAATGCAGCATCTTTGTACTGATGCAATACCATATAGCAAAGGATGTGTCAATGACTTAATGGACTTTACACCCAAATTTCCTCACATTGGGTGTAGCCCAATAGCCAGATCTTAATCTATTTTTAAAAAGTGATCTTAAGCAAAACTCCTTCTGCTTTTATCTAGAGCTGAGCTTCACTGAAATCACGTGACTGTTATTTTTTATTTAATATTCCAATACCATCTATGAAATGCAACCTAACTGCTTGCTGTCCAGATAATTCATTGCAAAATCCTATATATATTTACCCAGAGGTTCAATGGCAATTAAATCCAAATATGTGGGCATAGGATTACACTTTAAATGGGGTTTAGTATTTGTCTTTCTGACAAATACCACATTTCTTCACACATCTTGATTTTTTAGCTACAACATTGATTTATTTTTCTGATGAAGACTTTTTTGATTTCTGATTTGACAAATCTATATAAACATCAGTAAGTGAAGCTGGGCATATCTTGAGAATAAGAACATAATTGAACTCACTTCTGAGAAGAAATTCATAATATCAAGGATGAAACTTAAATCTGAGGCCCAGCAATTGTTTTTCTGTACCACTTCCTATCTAGAAAAAGGTTTACCTCTGGAAACTCAAGGTTAAGAATTCCTTTTTTAAAAAAAATGAATGTAAAGATTTGCTAGATCAGAACTCATTTAGTGATCTGTAGTTAAGCCTGTGCTTATCTAACCAGATATTAGGGAAAATTAGTAATAAATACAGGTTGATGTTAAATATCTTGTACAGAAGTAGAAGACAGAAATTTAATGCTGTAATTCTTTCTTGCTGACTGCCAGTTATTATTCCTGGATGTTGTCTGTCACTATGGTCTGTGGATGTAAATTTCCCTGTAGCCATTATTGAACAGGAATATTTCAATCATAAAAAGATTAAAACTTTGCAATAGAAACAGCAATAAGTTTCACTGAATTTATGGGCCTGAATTTAGGGAAGGCAGCAGAGAATTATAGTGTTAATCTGTTAGCAAAGATTATTTCCTCATAACTGTTGCTGGTACTGTACAGATGTCTGCATTCTTAATGGTCCAGAATAAACACATGCCATGAGAAATGGCTATTTTAAGGTACAAGACTCCTTTTCCCAAACCAGATTCTGGATTCTCCTCATTAAATAGGGCATAAACCCTTTCTCAAGAAAGTATGAAAATAACCCATCACGATATATGCTATTTATAAAAAATAAAACCTATTCACCAAGATAAGTGGATAGAGATTTCCCTATCAATACAACAGTCTACAAGATAAATAAACTTAATGGGAAAATTTAATGACAGAATGAACTGTATTACATCAAATTTATCCAAGCTGCTTTTACATGTATGTATCTGAAAAATAAAAATAAATATTAGTAATCAGTAGCAGATTTAACAACAGGAAGTTTTCTTTTCATAACTGGCAGTTAAAAGGGCAGAACTGGAATGTATTTGCCTACTCAAAAATATCCACAAAACAATGACACAAAATCATTAATTATTGATATATCATCATCCATTTTCCATCTCCAGATTGCAAGCTTTTAAGATAATTATTTTTTTTAAACTTTGAAACTAGGATTCTTTAAACAATTTCTTCCTGTTATAAAGAGGATTTTGTCTATGTTTCAAAAGTAGTTTGACAGAAATATTTGCATACTCTAGAAAGCAATTTATCTCCCAAATTACTTTGCTAAAAAATTCCTTCAGTCTCTTCATCATTACATTACAGACAATATCACCCATTGGATTTAGCTTCCCACCAAAAGTGTAGTTAGTTTGTTCAACTAACAGTGTCTGGACTAACTACACTAAGGTTTGGTTCTGAGTCAGCTGAGATATTTGAAAGATGCTAAAAATAAACAGCTATTCAGTGAAAATGGCAAAAAGATAACAGGTAACAGTGAAAAGGCAGAAATGCTCCTATGTTGGCTCACTGTTCTCTATGAAGAGAACTTATAAAAAATTGTAAATTTTGTAAATGGGAACTGGTAAAAAATTGATTGAAGGAACAAGATTCCAGCTTGAACTTGATATACAGATAAACAGTGAATACCAGGGGCAGATGAATTGCATCCTAAAATACTGAGAGAAGTTGCTGGTACTAATGCTGTTGCTTAACCTCTATTATTTTAAAGAAATCCTGGAGAATGAGTAAAATAGGTTATGATTGGAGGTGGGCAAATGTCCCTTTCTTCAAAAGTTGGGGGAGGGGGAGGGAGGAAATGCTAGGGAACTACAGAATACTCAGTCTGACTCCATAGCTGGAAGGATTCTGCAGCAGGTTACAAAGTGATTGATCTGTAAGCAACTTGGAAAAAAATGCAGCGATTAGTAGAAATGATAATGGATTTGAAAGGAACAACTCTTGTCAAATTAATGTTAATGTTTTAATAAGTAGTGGGGATGCTATTTGCATAATATATCTTGACTATAAATGATATATGTTGATTTTAGCAAAACATGTTGATATTCTGATTAGCAAAATAGGTAAGTACAGTAGGTTGACTGGCATGTCTAAATGAATCTAGAACTGGTGGAAATTCATATTCAAAGAGTACTTATAAAACTGGAGTGAGATGCTACAGGATTTGGTTGTGGGCCCAGTATGCTTCAGTATTTTTATCAGTGACTTGGATGAAGAGTGGGGAATGTTTATCAAATCTGCAGATGAAACCAAACTGAGGGATACCAAATACTGTAGAAAACAAAAGCACAATTAGAAAAAATATTGACAGATTAGAGAAATACGCTAAAAATAACAGACAAATGTAAAGTTCTTCACTTAGGAAAAAGAAACAAAATGCTCAAATACAGCATGGAGTATAGCTGATCTGATAATAGTATATGAGGAAAAGAGTTTTGGAACTGTAGTTGGTCACAACCAGAATATAAGCCAGCAATAATGCACCTGCCAAAAAGGAAATGCAGTTTTAGGCTATATCAATATAACTAAAGTTTTCAAATCATGGGAAGTAATATTTCTACTCTATTCTGTATTGATCATACTTCATCACAAGTATTGTGTCCAATACTGAGCTCCACATTCTAATAAGGATTCAGACAAATTTGAATAGATGCAAAGAATGACAATGAAGATGATTAGGGGACTGAAAACGTTGTTTTGCAAGAAGAGAGTGAGGGAAGTTGTTCATCTTAGCTTTGAAAAAAGACAACTCAGAAGGCATATGATAGCTCTTTCCAAGAAGCTGAAAGAATACAATACAGATGGTGGTCAACATCTGTTCTCTATCATACCATTGTGCAGGACTTAGAATAATGGTCTTTAAGTTATAGAAAGATAGATGTTGCTTGATATTAGGAAAACTTCTAATGAATAGCAAGAACAGCTAAACAGTGGTTCCAATTACTGAAAGAAGAGGTGAGTTTGCCGATTGCATTCAAGCAGAGGATGGACAAACATCTGTCAGAGATGCTTTAATTTGGATTCCCATATGCACCAGGGGTTAAACAAAAAGGCCCAACTGCTGTGCTCTTCCAGCTTTGCTATTCTTTTCTTCTCAATAAATATGCTTAAATATGCATTACAATATAGAAAACATGTTAATAGTGGAATCCAAAAGTCAAAAGCAAAACAAAACACAATGCGAACAGTCTGTGACACATATAGCAAAGCAAAACCACTAGATCCTGTGGAAAGGCTTGGCTACTTTAAGGAGTTACGTCCAGGTACTACACGAGTACCCACGCACATTCCAGAACACTGTTTTGCCTTTGAATCCAAAGTACCGTACAGCCCAAATCTTTTTTAGTCCTTCATTGCTTGCATTACAGTCCCCAAATATGTACGTTTCAGCTTCTTGATCATCCCCTCATTGTAACAATCAGCCTTGTTTTCTAAGATGAAGGGACAATAGGCAAACACTGACGATGCATGCCCGTGAGGCACCCTTCAGATGTGTAAGGACTGAAATTCCTGCTAGTGTCTGGAAGGAACTGAGTTGATTGTCTGATGGACATGAAGTGTTCTGAACAGTCAAGGTTGGAGAAAGCAACAGAAAGAGAAGACAAAGATTGCAGAAAACAGGCAGTGACATTACCCTTTTAAGAAGACAAATGTTTTGGTACTAAAGCCCTCTCTTCTCCCCTGTGATTTCATCCTCCTCCTTCCTCCTCCCCCATTCCCCGACTGATGTAATTCTTTAGTAAATTTCAAACAGAGGCAGTCAGTCACATGGCTGCTTGCAAGGCCAACATCCTCTTAGGGGGCTGCATTGCCTGCCTTCTTGCCCCTGCGTGAGAGCAAGAGCCTGCTTTGATTTCCAGGGTGTGCGTGAAAGGGTTGTGGCTGCAGGCACACATGTGCCAGTGTTGCTCTTAAACAGCGGCTATGATTGGTTGCAGACTGTTTTTGTCTCTGTACCACGATTGGTTAGAATGGCTTACCACACACAGACAGACCCACAGGGGAATGTTAGTCTAGTGATGAGTAACCAAGCTAGTAATCGCATGTCCTCCTCTTTCCGGTTGCTTTTCTGCTTTTTCCTTCTATGGGCTCTCTCTGGATGTCTCTACCTTCCCAGAAAAATGCTCCCACCCACCTTGCCCGGGTGGGGTCACAGAGGGACACGGGGAGGGGGAAGGCTGCAAGAAAGAATGTACGTGTGTGCTAATCTCTCTGCGTGATCTTTCTGGTCTGGAAAGATTTGACAAACAATTAACAATCTTTCTCTCCAGTAGCTCAGCTGCTCATTCCAAAAATAGCTCCTTGGCAGAGGGAAGAAGGCAAGTCAAAGCTGACTTAAGAGGTGGCTTTTATGTATTTGTTTTCAATTCCATTAGATTTTTGCGGGGTGACTGCGGAACAGGTGATGATGGAGAAGGGGAAACCTTTTCACAGATGGGCTAAATCAAATCAGCAGGGAGCCATTCCCCTGCTCAGAAGGGAAAACAGACAGCCTGCAAGAAACCGTGAACAGGAAACAGCTTGTGAAAGTCATTTGCAATTGTCAAAGGTGTGCCTGCTGCCCATGAATGATTTGTTGTTCTGAGTTTATATTTATCAACCACTGGAAAAGCCCTTAGGGAGTGGATATGATTTGGTCGGACTATGCAGCATCATATCCTGGCTGCTCGATAACCACAGTTCACAGATAGAGCCTGTGAATTAATGCAAATGGGTGGATGCAAGCTAGAATTCAGGATGGGCAGTTCTAATCAGCAACATGTTGAGTGCTTTATATACAAAACTTCCACAATGAGGTATAGCTACACTTTTAGGACTAGATTCAAATTCCCACACTGATGAAGCCCAACAAAATACCGCTCCATCTACTTACAAATCAAATTTACAGGTTTAAAAAGGTCAAGTTCTGAATTGAGCTGGTTGCTATGGCCATGTAGCTCTCTTGGCAACAATACATCAGTGATTTGACATACCTTCTTCTGGGGTGTCTTTTCAATTTCTCTGTCTAGCCCACAACTTTGGGATTTCTTAGTAGCCTCTCATCCAAGCACCAACCATATTAGACCCTAATTCAACTTGTTGAGATCAGCCAAACTTGGCTAAGTGCTGCTGTGAAGATAAAAAGGGTGATGTAAGAGTCTTATAAGAGCAAATTTTAAGTAGCCCTGCTATGAGAGTGGGAAACAGGGAGGAGGGACACCACTGGCCAAGATGGCTTGGAATTCTAGGATCTCCCATGGAGGGTTATTTCCATAACCTAAATTTGCCCCTCCCAAATATTTGTTCCTTTGCAGACATGCATGCGCACATCTGTCTTGCCCCAAATACATTTTGCAGTGCAAAGTCTCAGTTACTTATTTATTTCTACCTAAATGGAGTAAGGTAAACGTTCTTCAATATTAGCAATGCCCTGCCTGTGGTTAAAAAAAAAAAAAAGCTTTGGGATGGATATGATGCAGCTCCATTGTATCCAGTCTTCTGGACATGTGGTTGGATGATCTTTGATGGCCCAATGGCATTCTACAGGGCAAATGTCTTGATACTCATTTCTCTCAATTTTGAATATTTGTCCTATGGCTACCAATGCCACACATCTAGAAAAAGCTTGTAAGTGGACAGGACACAGCCCTGTTACATCAAAGGGAGTTGGCTGGACTTACGGATGTATGATTTGGGATGGCCCAATACTAATTGTGAGACACGTCTCAGCTACAGCACTCCATCTATACAGATAACACAATCATTCAGTCTTCTACAAGATAACAGTATGAAGCTCAATGTTAATTTAAGTTGCCTTTTAAAAATGGATTAAACTAATTTGGATCTGCAATGGCTATTTTGCATGGATGATTAATTTGTGTCAAATTTGCATGTATTCTTAAATCCATTCCATCTTGTTTCCACCTGCAGCTATAAACTTTTATTTTTAAAAAGATACTCAAAGTTTGCATTTAAATACTTAGTTATATTCATGTTTACAACATATTTTATGCTAAATTAAGCATTTTTATGTGGGTGATCGTTAAACATTAATTTTTGCATGCCGTCTTGCATTCTCTTCCATATATTAGTCAAGGAAACATAAATCAGATCAATCCACTTAACAATGTGTGCTAACTGAATTATTGAATTCCTACACTCACAATAGCAACACGGAACCTCCATTTGCAGAAGCATTTTCTCTCTGTTTACCAAAGCTGAGAACAACATCAGTTCTCATTTTTGCATTTTTCAGAGGCCTCTTCTTGGCTACTCTTGAAGGCAGAATGCTATACTAGAACACCATAAGAGTTGAGCAGAATGAAAATATTAGTCGCTCTGCAGTGAGATGGGCAGTGACAAATTTGAAATAGAAATAAAAAATAGAAATTATGTCTGCACGAGTTCCGTCTTGGACTAAGATACCATGTTCCATCAGGACTAGGGCTACAACTGCAATATTGTATCCAAGGAATGTCAGTAATGTATTGATGCCCAGAAGGCCCAGAACAAACTCCTGTCATAAATCTTCTCTCAAGGTTTACACCGCAGGTTTTACAGTTATTTGGCCAATGTTTTTGAAGTTCCAATTTACTGATATTGCTGCAAAAATAGATCCTCCTCTTCTCTCTGTAAAAGCCACTAGAATAAACCAGAACAGAAATTAAGTATGTCTTAAAACCAGCATGAACTGCATAACACTACAATCTTCCTAGAGCAGACTTCCCAAGTCAACATTTATTGGATTTCAACTCCTATAATTCCCATCCTGCAGGCTTGTGGTTATTTAAAATAAACCAAGGTTTATTGTATTTTGGGTAGATGGGCACATTTGGAATCTTAACAAAAGTCTCAGGAGAGCCATCAGAGAATGGTTTTCTTAGGGGTTGACTTTGCAAAATCACTGTTGCAAAGCATACATTCACTTCTCGGAGCCCAGAGTTCTCTTTCCTCTTACATGCAGAGCACCCAAGAGCTACTCATAAAGATGGCTGGTAGTTGAAGGCTATGTCAATCTGAGGCACTTCCGTCTATCCAAAAAAATAATAATGAATCCTAGTTTCCACATGACACTTTACAGATACACATGGCCTAATCCTGATTTATCATCAGGGAAAGAGCCTAACCTATTCTGCAACTTGCATCATAACCTTGATGATGTCCTGGTGTTCAGCTATTAATATTAAAGTTTTCTCCATATTGTCTCATATTCTAATACACCCTGTGTCTGTAAATTCTGTATCAGAAGGGCAGAATCAGCATGAAAGGCACCCATCAGCAGAACAGTATGGTAGTGTGGGCAAGGTGAAGTCTTTATCCTATGCTTGGACAATTCTCTTTTTCCACTAAGGCAAAGAAGATCTTTGCTGCCTGAGGCAACCTTGCAAAGAGAAGAGCTGCCTCAGGGCTCTGCACAAAAATCTATGCCCAACCAGCTTTATTCAGCTGATGGAAGCTGTTGCTTTTCAGGGCAAAAGCCTTCTAACAAGCACCTTTGGTTGCTCAAGTCTGATTGCATGAGCTTGTGTGGGATCCCATGGTGTTTGTACATCTCGGAGAAGATAAAAGAATTCTCTCTGGCAACATGTCAACAACGAAGATCTTTCCCTACCAAATCCTTTCTGTAATGGGGAAAAAAAGTTTTTAGAAGATCAGAGCAGCCAACATGATAGGCTGCTTGAACTGCTGCTGGGTCTTGTTGTTTCTCTCACGACTGAGTAGAACTCCTATCGCGGTGCATCTTTGCAGTCCTGTCATCCCTTGAAAGCGTGTTGCAGTAATCAGCAGAAGCCCAAACAGAGGAGACGGTTTTTGGACTATGAAGAGAGGAAGGAGGCAGACGGTCCCCCTCTCTTTCAACTTTACTTGGGGGCGGGGGGAAGCCTTAGTAAGAATTTTCAGCTGCTAATAACCTAGTGCTGGGTGACAACGGAATACCTGAGGGAAAGGACGGTGGGCCTGAGCCTTGGGAATTCCGCTTCAATTCACAGCAAAGGCAAACAGGTCAGGCAAAAACATAACAAAGGAAGCCAGCAGAATAGACAGTGCCCTGCAAAAAGAAGTAAGGTCCAGCAGTTTTTGATTTTTTTTTAAAGACACAAAGAGACCATGTTTGTTTTGTGCCTCAAAATGCAATGAAAGTGTAGCCTCCTAGTAAAAGTAGGGACCTCATTCTGAAATCAGAGCTGCTTAGTGGGAGCAAAGAAAGACAGAGGGGAAAAATGGAGAAGAAAAAGAATGAGATGGACTCGGGAACTTCTCACTGGCATGAGCAAGAAACTGGGGCAGTCTTGGTGCTGCATGGTAAAACTGCTCCCTGACGCAGGCTTAATGACCGAAAGGTGCATTTGATGTCAAGATGGTGTATCTGTGCATTGGTAAAAGATGGACATACTCACAACCAAGGGCTGTATGCTGACCTCCTTGATGAATGAGAGTAACAACATCTAGCAAGATACATCCCACCATATAACATTTTGGTGCTTAGTTTTTATTTAGGAGAGAGACACTGATTTTGTAATGTTAGTTTTTAGCAGGCTAGATATGTCTCGTCAGTGGGAAAGAGCCATGCAGCCCTGAGGCAGATTGCTTTCTGCCACTAAGGTTGGAGTGGGATCGGTATGGCGACACAATTGGATAAGGCAGATTTTTATAATTTCATAGGAGAACAGTTGGCCTTCTTTTTCCTGGTAGTGCATTTTATTTAGAGAGCCAGTTTGGTGTAGCGGTTAAGGCATCAGGCTAGAAACCAGGAGACTTATAGTTCCGCCTGAGGCACAATTTCAGCTGGGTGACCTTGGGCGAGTCACTTTCTTTCAGCCCTAGGAAGGAGGCCATAGCAAGCTACTTCCGAAGCATCTTGCCAAGAAAACTGCAGGGATTTCTCCAGGCAGTT